TGAATATAAATCAAGTTCAAATAAAAAATATCTCAGCCGGCGTATCTTGATTGACGGCTGCAAAACGTTTAACAGCTGTTTGAGTTTCAACCTGTCTAAACATAAATAAGTAGAGAAGAACGGAAAACAAAATAGGAAGATTTCTTTGCCTGCCTGGCACTGCAAAGACAGTTCCAGGAACGGAGATGCCTGTGAGGTAACGTCCTGTCTTTGTGATCAATCAAATGCTGTTCTGTGGAGCTGTACACCCCCAACAACTACAGAGTGTGGCTTTCTCACAGACAAACGCGACACTTTTCCGTGGAAGCCTTATTAAACTTAACTAAGGGGATTATTGTTCTGTTGTTCTATTGTATTTTCTTAGATCTTCGAACTGAAACATTTTTTTGTCTCTAGCTCATCAACAAGGGCAAAGGTGAAGCTCTACGTATTCGCGCCATCCTACGTTCACTCGTACCAACTGAAGACCTGGTTGGAATCATCAGTATACCACTCAGAATGCCTATCATCAACAAAGGTATTGACGTTACGATTTTTTAATTTTTTTTTTACCTTAACAATCAACAAAAACAGTGCAGGAAACATCTGTAGGCCACCATGTCATAGTCAGAGTGTCAGACCAGAGGGTCCACGTCGACGTGTCGTTACACTGGCCCTGAGACGGTGCCTTCGCAGCAAAACACAGGGCTATTGATTTCACTTCACCGCTCATGCCCTTTTAATCAGCACAACATTTTACTGCACACTCCCATAGCTCCGAGTAAGTCAGATCATTTCTATAGCAGCCTGTCTTGCTTTATTGATTGATCTGCATAAGCACGGAAAGACTCGCCTCTTAGATTTGCTGCCGTGAGGCTCTGTCACCAGTCCAACAGTGAAGCCAACGCCAGAAAAAAACTCATTCACGTGCTGCCGCCGCCGCCGCTGCTCTCTGCCTGATGAACAGCCACAAATGAGAAGACGTACGTGCCGTGGTCTAAGGAAGCGTAATGTTGCCACACAGAGACGTTAACACAAAATACAGTGAAAGTTAGCACTAAATAACTTGAAAGTTATGAAGAAATAACGTTAAAGTTATCATGAAATAAAGTGAAAGTTATCACGAAATAACGTGAAGGTTATTGCGAAATAACGTGAAAGTTATCGCGAAATAACGTTAACACAAAATACAGTGGAAGTTATCACTAAATAACGTGAAAATTATCACGAAATAATGTGTTCTTTGGATCTGCCCTGCTCCGTGCAGGGAGTCAGCTCCGACGTGTAAGCCGCCAAGAATCAATGATGTCGAGTTTCCTTTAAGACTAGCTGTCTCTATCTGTCGGCTTTTCTAGAATCTTTTCTCTGCTTTAACACTGTTAGGTCTGCGGATGGCGATGATGAGGAGGAGGTGGTTCACATGGGCAACGCCATCATGTCCTTCTACTCTGCACTCATTGACCTTTTGGGACGTTGCGCCCCAGAGATGCATGTATGCTCTTTATCCAGTAATTTAAATTATAGGAAAGTGACAACAACATTTCCTTTTTGCCTCTGTAGATGGCGCTATAACTACATTTTCTTTTCACATAAATCTAAACCTGAATCAAAACACAAGACCAGTTAGGTGATTGTCACCGGGATGTAAGAGGAGCAAAGACACCTCTGAGCCAGGAACCACACAGAAACTCTGAGTTAAACTATCGCAGTGTTTTTCAACGCCGGGGTTGTGACCCCATTTTTCCACAAAATATTATTCTTCTAGAAATTATAATTTAAAAACCGCCAAACACAATCTGAAACAACACTTTCATGAATATAAATCAAGTTCAAATAAAAAATATCTCAGCCGGCGCATCTTGACTGACGGCTGCAAACGTTTAACAGCTGTTTGAGTTTCAACCTGTCTTAACATAAATAAGTAGAGAAGAACGGAAAACAAAATAGGAAGATTTCTTTGCCTGCCTGGCACTGCAAAGACAGTTCCAGGAACGGAGATGCCTGTGAGGTAACGTCCTGTCTTTGTGATCAATCAAATGCTGTTCTGTGGAGCTGTACACCCCCAACAACTACAGAGTGTGGCTTTCTCACAGACAAACGCGACACTTTTCCGTGGAAGCCTTATTAAACTTAACTAAGGGGATTATTGTTCTGTTGTTCTATTGTATTTTCTTAGATCTTCGAACTGAAACATTTTTTTGTCTCTAGCTCATCAACAAGGGCAAAGGTGAAGCTCTACGTATTCGCGCCATCCTACGTTCACTCGTACCAACTGAAGACCTGGTTGGAATCATCAGTATACCACTCAGAATGCCTATCATCAACAAAGGTATTGACGTTACGATTTTTTAATTTTTTTTTTACCTTAACAATCAACAAAAACAGTGCAGGAAACATCTGTAGGCCACCATGTCATAGTCAGAGTGTCAGACCAGAGGGTCCACGTCGACGTGTCGTTACACTGGCCCTGAGACGGTGCCTTCGCAGCAAAACACAGGGCTATTGATTTCACTTCACCGCTCATGCCCTTTTAATCAGCACAACATTTTACTGCACACTCCCATAGCTCCGAGTAAGTCAGATCATTTCTATAGCAGCCTGTCTTGCTTTATTGATTGATCTGCATAAGCACGGAAAGACTCGCCTCTTAGATTTGCTGCCGTGAGGCTCTGTCACCAGTCCAACAGTGAAGCCAACGCCAGAAAAAAACTCATTCACGTGCTGCCGCCGCCGCCGCTGCTCTCTGCCTGATGAACAGCCACAAATGAGAAGACGTACGTGCCGTGGTCTAAGGAAGCGTAATGTTGCCACACAGAGACGTTAACACAAAATACAGTGAAAGTTAGCACTAAATAACTTGAAAGTTATGAAGAAATAACGTTAAAGTTATCATGAAATAAAGTGAAAGTTATCACGAAATAACGTGAAGGTTATTGCGAAATAACGTGAAAGTTATCGCGAAATAACGTTAACACAAAATACAGTGGAAGTTATCACTAAATAACGTGAAAATTATCACGAAATAATGTGTAAGTTATCACGTAATTACATGAAAGTTATCACGAAATAACGTGAAACTTAGCACGAAATAAAGTTAAAGTTATTACGTTGAGGTTATCACGTAATTATGTGAACATTATCACAAAATTCTGTGAAAGTTATCACGTAATTACGCGTAAGTTATCGCGAAATAATTTTATCACGAAATACAGTGAAAGTTAGCACTAAATAACTTGAAAGTTATGAAGAAATAACGTTAAAGTTATCACGAAATAAAGTGAAAGTTATCACGAAATAACGTGAAGGTTATTGCGAAATAACGTGAAAGTTATCGCGAAATAATGTTAACACAAAATACAGTGGAAGTTATCACTAAATAACGTGAACATTATCACAAAATTCTGTGAAAGTTATCACGTAATTACGCGTAAGTTATCGCGAAATAATGTTATCACGAAATACAGTGAAAGTTATCACGTAATTACGTGAAAGTTATGAAGAAATAACGTTAAAGTTATCACGAAATAAAGTGAAAGTTATTACGTTGAGATTATCACGTAATTATGTGAACATATCACAAAATTCTGTGAAAGTTATCACGTAATTACGTGAACGTTATGAAGAAATAACGTGAAAGTTATCACAAAATAACGTAAAACTTATCACGAAATAAAGTGAAAGTTATCACGAAATAACGTGAAGGTTATTGCGAAATAACGTGAAAGTTATTACGTAATTACGTGAAAGTTCTCGCGAAATAATGTTAACACAAAATACAGTGGAAGTTATCACTAAATAACGTGAACATTATCACAAAATTCTGTGAAAGTTATCACGTAATTACGCGTAAGTTATCGCGAAATAATGTTAACACGTAATACAGTGAAAGTTATGAAGAAATAACGTTAAAGTTATCACGAAATAACGTGAAGGATATTGCGAAATAACGTGAAAGTTATCACAAAATAACGTAAAACTTATCACGAAATAACGTGAAGGATATTGCGAAATAACGTGAAAGTTATCGCGAAATAATGTTAACACGAAATACAGTGAAAGTTATGAAGAAATAACGTGAAAGTTATTACGTAATTACGTGAAAGTTAATACAAAATAACGTAAAACTTATCACGAAATAACGTGAAGGTTATTCTGTAATTACGTCATAGTGAGCCTTTTTTTTTTCTCACTGTGGCAACAGTATCCGTAGTGGTCAACTCCAAGAGGGATTTCTGTGTTTTTTTTTCTGTGAGTTTCATTTCCTGTCCCTCAGATGGGTCGATGACTGAGCCGGACATGTCCGCCTGCTTCTGTCCTGACCACAAGGCCCCCATGGTCCTGTTTCTGGACAGGGTCTATGGTATTGAAGACCAGAGCTTTCTGCTTCACCTGCTCGAAGTGGGCTTCCTGTCCGACCTGAAGGCTGCTACCTCTCTGGACACGGTGGGTGGAGTTTATCATTACAGCACAGTCAAGATAATCCTCGCTGTTCCATGAACTTGTCTGGACATGAACACTCATCCGTCTACAGGAAGTCCTGTGTACTACAGAGACCGCCTTGGCCATGAACCGCTACATCGGCTCGGCCATGCTACCTCTCCTCACCCGCTGCGCTCCTCTGTTTGCGGGCACTGAGCACTACGCCACCCTCATCGACTCCACCCTTCACACCATCTACCGCCTCTCCAAGGGTCGATCGCTCACCAAAGCCCAGAGAGACGCCATCGAGGAGTGCTTGTTAGCTGTCTGCAAGTAAGCAGCAGAGTCAATCTGTGATACAGCACCAGGGGGTGGTAGTCACCTTCGTGAGAACCCCTGGGGGTGGCGCCAAAGAGTCACGGAGGGTCTGCATGAGGAGAAATTATTTGGTGTTGCAAATAATGGTTTATGAATGTACTTTTTTAAAATATTGTGAAAATGAAATGTTTTCAAATACATTGTTTCAGTTGTTATTGAAACTCATCATTGCCAGGAGTAAGGATGTCCGATAATATCGGCCGACCCATATATAGCATAGTAATATAATATCGTAATATCTGTAAGAATCGTAATTGGGATTTCAGTCGATAATAAAAAACCCGATAATGCAACGCCTGAGTTTCACCAAATGATGTTTGCCCTAAAAATAGTTTTGGGGATAAACGACTGTATATTAAAGTGAAAGTCACTAGATGGCAGCATTGCACCTCCTTTAATTAATCTCATACTCATACAGTGGATTGTACAGATAAAGAAATAAATATTACCAGGCCTATATCGATATCGGTTGATATTGTATTTGGAAATTAAGTGTTTGGATATCGTGTTTGAATATCGTCATATTGGATATCGGCAAAAAGTTAATATCGGACATCCTTACATTGTCCCTAGCCAGGAGCACACAGAGGAGGGTGGTGTGTGGGTCAGGGCAGGCTGTCAGGCTGTCGGCTCACGTTCACCCAGTTTGAAAACTCCTGTTTTATTGAATATAAACCGTCAGAGTAAAATCAGACCAAAGTGTTTGGACGTTTTTTTTTGTTTTTTGTTTTTGAAGTTAGACCTGGACTGCAGCGCTCTTATCCTGCTTTCATCTTATTCTGCAGACACCTCCGACCTTCGATGCTGCAACAACTCTTGCACCGCCTCGTCTTTGATGTACCACTGCTGACCGAATACTGCAAAATGCCTCTCAGGGTGGGCCACGGTTCCTTTATCTCTTTAAAACTCCCTCTATCACTGAGTCGCTGTGACCTCGCAGTGTTTTTATTTTATCAGTTTTTTTTTTTCAATTGGATACAGTGGTGTGTTTCTGTGTGGCTGCTCATACTTTAACCTTTTATTTGATTGTCAGCTCGTGGGGGGGGGGCATCACCAGCTTACCACACACACACACACACACACACACACACACAGGTGTACCTGTGGTGTTAATCATCCACTGTTATAGAAGTGAAAACAGGCAGACCAAGTGTACGACTGTGTGATTACACAGCTGCCGGTTCCACTCCGGTTCTCCATCTCTCTCTGGCCCCTCGGCAGAGACATAATGCCGACGTAATAGATTGTGATTGGCTGTGCCCTGCGGTTGACACACTTTTATGTACATATTTAGGTTTGGTTTTTTTTTGCTGAGTGTGGATGAACTGAAGTCCTGTGTTTGTGCTGAATTCTCAGGCTGCAGGTGTTTGTCTGTTACTGGAACACTGTTGAGAGTCCTCTCTCTACCAAAGTCTGTCTGTTTTGTTTTTTTTAAAGACCTTTGACCTTCTGCTTCTGTTGTCTCCTCCAGCTGCTAACCAACCACTATGAGCAGAACTGGAAGTTCTACTGCCTCCCGTCGGGATGGGGCAGCTACGGCACAGCGTCTGAAGATGAATTACTGCTCACTAAGAAAATCTTCTGGGGAGTGTTTGACTCTCTGTCCCAGAGGGTGAGGATGAATTAATGATGGATTCTTTTTTTTTTTTTTTTTCATCATGCAGTTTTTACATTATTAACAGGTCTGTCGCTGAGCCCTGTGGTCAAGACGTTCTCTAAAAATTTGATATTTTTTAAACAGATTTCACCCAATATTTTTATTAATATGGATGTATGCACAGAACTAGTATTAGCACATGTTTAATGCTAATGATAAGGCCTGACCTGAAAGTACCAATGTCTCACCAATCCAGAGCCACTACTGCAGCCTTTTGCAGCTTCTAGGTCAGTGATGTCAAATTAATTATCACATGGTACAGCATCATCCATAACATATTAATTGATGGTTCTGCAATTCGTTATTATTGATTCAAGTTTCGAATAATGTTCTGCAGTGCTCTGTGTAATAACATATTAATTGATGGTTCTGCAATTCGTTATTTATATTTATTCAAGTTATGAATGTTCTGCAGTGCTCTGTGTAACAAAAAAAAAAAGAATTAATAAACTCACATTCAAAGCATCAATCAACTATACTGTAAGAGTCAGGTTTTGGGTGAAGTTGATGAGGTGATGCTGCTTGGTCCTTGAACACACCTCTCATCATCATGATGAGCATAGTGAGCAGCATAGACTTTATTAAGAGTTGCGGGTCAAACAGAATGACTCAGTAGACCATGTTCGGCCCGTTGATGAGGTGATGCTGCTTGGTCCTTGTTCGGCCCACGGGCCGAGGGTTTGACAAATGTGGCATAGACTTCATTAAAAGGCATTTAAATGCTTTTTAAGCTCCTGCAGGTCACACAAGATGACATGGTGGGCTGCATTTGGCCCGCGGGCCTTGAGTTTTAAACGTGTTCTAGAATGATTCTTTATTACAGTTTCTTCCTCAGTTGCAGAAACGTGGTTAGAATTTAGGAAAATTTCTGTTTTCATTGAACCCTGTGCCATTGTCGTCTCATCCTCTGCAGAAATACGACGCAGAGTTGTTTAAGATGGCCATGCCTTGCCTCAGTGCCATTGCTGGAGCTCTGCCGCCCGACTACGTAGATGCCTCCATTAGTACGACTGTGGAGAAACCTGTGTCAGTTGACGCTCAGGGCAATTTTGATCCCAAACCAATCAACACCGCTAAGTACGCCAAGCTGTGGACGCAATACTGGGAGAAAAACCACACATAGTTCAACACTGGCTAAATATGCATGGCTGTTGATGAAATAAATAACTCACATTTGCATATGCTGACAAGTTGTCAGACTCTCTCCCTCTCTTTTTCTCTCTCTCTCTTCACAGCATTGCTCTGCCAGAGAAGCTGGAACACTTTGCCAACAAATATGCTGAGCATTCCCACGAGAAATGGTCTGCAGAGAAGGTACCACCAGGCCGCTGTCCAGCAGGAGTGTTAATGTGGCTGTATTTGTATAAATACTTTTTTTAAGCCTGACACAAAGTAAAAAAAAAAAAAAACTAAAATCATGGTCACTGTTGCTGTTTTTTCTCTCCAGTATGAGAGCTCTTCTTTTTTTACTGTTAGCCGTCATGCTAACAAAAATGTTCCAGCGACTGAGCACCAGGATCTGCTCTCCTTTGTGTCGACCAGTTTGTTGTGTTTGAAGAAAAAAAAAAGCAAAAATCACAGCAAAATTACATTTACAAATAGAGATGTCGCCCCAATTTTAGCCTAATTTGCGTATTATCCGTAAAAATCTTTATCGGTGTTTCCCCCCATAATGAAAAACGATAATGCAATGCTTGGGTTTCATCAAATGATATGTGCCCCAAAAAATAGATTTGGGGAAAAACAGCTGCATATGAAAGTGAAAGTCACTAGATGGCAGCATTGCAGCTCATTTTATCTATCTATTTCAACAATCAGTGGATTGTATGCAGAATGCTGGTGCCAACGACTCATACGGTGGTTTGTACAGATAAACATAATATATGTTAGGTCCTTAATAGTAGGGGGGGGCATGGGAAAAATTATTAAGAAACACTGCTTTAACCCTTCACCTTAGTGAACAGGCGACACTTAACTTCCTCAACCACCAGGGCCACTATTACCCTGCTATATTGGTATTGGTTGATATTGGAATCGGCAAAAAGTTAATATCGGAAATCTCTGTTTACAAACCTTACTGTCTTATGCTAACTGAATTCTTACTCCGAAATTTTCAAACCCTTCAGCAGCTACCTCCTAAGGCTACGAGGTTTGTGTTGAATAAACCTGTGTGTCTGTGGGCTACGAGGTTTGTGTTGAATAAACCTCTGTCTGTTCCTCAGGTGCTGTTGGGATGGAAGTATGGAGACTGTGTTGATGAGAAGGCCAAAACTCACCCCCAGCTCAGAACCTACAAAGGCCTGACAGAGAAGGTGTGTGTCCAGGGAGACATTTGGGAGGAATGGGAGGCATCTCGACTCACCCCTTCTTCCCTGTTTGTGTGTTCCAGGAGAAGGAGGTCTACAAGTGGCCAATTAGAGAGTCTCTCAAGAGTATGCTGGCGATGGGCTGGTCCATCGACAGGACCAAAGATGGAGAGAGCATGTCTCAACAGAGGGAGAACGAGAAAATGAGAAAGATATCCCAGGCCTCGCAGGTACAAATGAAGACTTCACTTCAAGAACAGTATTTTTGTTGTGTTATACACGGGTGTAATCAGTCTAACTGGTGCTTGTAAATACGGACTGTGTTTTGTTAAATCTTCTATCGCAGACAAATGGATTCAATCCCAGCCCAATAGACACCAGCACTGTGGTTCTGTCCAGGGAATTACAGGTGATTTTTTTTTTCTGTGAATTGTAGAGAAACTTCATCATTTTCTCAGTGTTCATTAGTAATGCAGCTGAGATTCTGAGTTCAGCTCTTTTCTCTCTGGTCCCAGGGGATGGTGGAGGTTGTGGCAGAAAATTACCACAACATCTGGGCCAAGAAGAAGAAGAGTGACCTTGGAAGCAGAGGTGAATTGCAAATTAGGGTCGTTAAAAGTGATTAAGTGTATGGCACTTTGGCCTGCCTGGATACAGAGCTGTGTGTGCCTTTAGGTGGGGGAACACACCCTCTGTTGGTGCCCTACGACACGTTGACAGCTAAGGAGAAGGCCCGAGATCGAGAGAAGGCCCAGGACCTTTTCCGCTTCCTGCAAATCAATGGCTACAGCATAACAAGGTCAAAACAGCGTGCCAATGAATACATTATCATTTTATCTACTGCAGAAAAAATGCACAGACTCCTAACTTTTCCCACCTGTACTGTAATGTGTTTAGGTGTCGACACGAATATTCAAATACTGTACAATCCTATTCATCCAGTTTTCAAGCAGAACAATTAATACATTTATCTATGAATACTAGCATTGTTTCAAAAATATTTACAGCATATACTATATTTCGCTAATAATATATCATTGTTTGTTTTTGTTTTGTTTTTTTGTATATTTAAGAGAGCTGTCGACTTTTATTTTGAAATCAGGACTTTTATTTTGAATGCGTAGTTCCGTTGCTCTGTTCGGCGGAGCGATAGAAAAAGATGGGAAGTTAAGACAACAATTAAAGTGTTTGCAGATTTTTATGTGAAGAAATTGAAGGTTAGAGATAATTCCTCCGTAACACGGCACACAGCTAACGAGTTTTCACGGTGGATATGGAAGGAGTTCCAATTAAACTTATCTCGAAAGCCACTCGTGTCGTTCGTTCCTCGAGGGAATTATACCGAACGCTACGGTACACTACGTGTACAGTAACTGACACAACGGAGCCAGCTATTAATCACAGCAGGACAGAACAAGTTGATAGTACTGTAATTTTCCCCCTAAAACCTTATATACACACAGTTTTTCTAACAAACCACAAACAAACAAGCAAATAAATAAAAAAACTAATTTAAAAAGATGGAAAAAATTCATTCCACTGTACAAAATAGGATTACTGTAGGATAATAAAACTGTTAGCCTCTGCCTAATCCTGCCCATCCACCCTAATAGTTACTGCGTTTTTTTCTCTTATTATGTTGAGTTTTATTGTAAACATTTTCACCCAGAAATATGTTAAACAAATGGATTAAAGAGAAAATACTTAAGTATTTTAACAAGTCTGTTTCAGTAGTAGTCATACACTGTGCTACTACGTTAACTTTAACCCATTATCTTCTCGCGCTGCAGAGGTTTGAAGGACCTAGAGCAGGATTCTTCATCCATGGAGAAGAGGTTTGCCTATAGGTTCCTCAAGAAACTTCTCAAGTACGTCGACTCAGCTCAGGAGTTCATCGCACATTTAGGTACGACGACGGTACACACCAAAGTGGTATGAATTTTTTATCACCCATTTATATTCGTAGGATAAAATGTGCTTCTGTGTTTTGAATACAGAGGCCATGGCCGCCAGTGGGAAAACGGATCGATCCCCACATGAACAAGAAATAAAGTTCTTCGCTAAGGTACCAACGAATCTACAGCTACAGTCCTGTGAGGACAGACTCCATCCCGGTCCTGTCTTATAATTATTCACGTGTACTTCCAGGTTCTTCTTCCTCTCATCGATCAGTACTTCAAGAACCACTCTCTCTACTTCCTCTCATCTCCCAGCAAAAACCTGAGCAGCAGTGGCTACGCTTCCAACAAGGAGAAGGAAATGGTCAGCAGGTAGATAATAACGTGTGATGCAGCGTTTTATGTATTTATGTTTTTTTTTTTTTATAAATTTCTATCCTAAACTTTCTTCATGCTAAGTCTTCTACACAATTAACACATTTTCCTAAATTTTCCTCTTCTCTAACCTTCACCTTCAGCCTGTTTTGTAAACTGGCAGCTCTTGTCAGACATAGGATTTCACTCTTTGGTAAGAAGGCTATCGACCACTAAAGCATTTGACTGTGTTTGTGTGTGTGTGCGGATGAATGTACTGCTGAACTGACAAATTAACGCAAACGAAAGTGGAATGTATATATAAATATATATGATTTTGGAGGCAAAAAAGTAGACTTATAAATGCTATATTTTAATGGTTTGTACATCACATTCACACTATAATCAGTGCTGTTGTGTTTGGTTTCTTATAGGCAGTGACTCTATGACCATGGTGAGCTGTCTCCATATACTGGCTCACACTCTGGACACAAGGTCAGTCCTAATATGAATGCAAATGTATTTTTTTTTGATTACATTAAAATATGTACCTTATTATTAATATACCTTATTGTCAGTCAGATATTTGACACACATATATAATTTTTCTTACGGTTTTTCATACGGTATCATGTTTAAACTCTCAAAATGACTAGAATACACACACATGTAATAAATAAATAAAATAAATGTGTACTATATTGATCCCATATTTGGGAAATTGTTGTGTTAGCAACAGATATGCTGTTAACAGGCTGCCCCTAGCAAGCGCCAAGCATGTGGTTCCTCTGGGAATTGTTAAAATGTCCACTTTTTATTTAAAATTTTAGGAAATGTTTATTTACATGTGGAAAAATCCCACATAAAAAGCATCACATTTTTTATCTCATGCACCCCCTAGTGGCAGCTGGCGTACACCCGGGGTTGCACACATTTGACATTTAAATGAACAATAAACAGGGCTAGTGTTAAAAGGCTGTTATAACTGCAGAACTGTTTTACAGCTTATATTTGGTTGGTACTGTTGGTACCACGGAACTGTAGCCCATGCTAACAGCATCCGTTATGTCACCTTTCTGCTAGGACACATCAGGATATTACAACCTTCCATTATTTCAGCTGTAGTATGGGATGCTGTACAGAAAGGCTAATTATATTAGTGCATGCTGTTGTGCAGGTTTTGAATAAATCACTCCTGTGGAGGTGTTACTGCGGGGGAGTCACTCATGTGTCATATTTATTGACGTGAACCTTCATCGACTGGGAGACCGGACGAGTTGTGTGTTAGCATATGTTAGCATACGGTGACAGAAATGTCCTCTGTGTTCCTTTAAGGTTACTGGAAATGTTGTTTTTCTAACACCCCTCCTCTCCACCTACAGGACAGTGATGAAGTCGGGCTCAGAAATGGCCAGAGTGGGGCTGCGGACCTTCTTTGAGAACGCCGCGGAGGATCTGGAGAAAACCTTCGAGAACCTGAAATTGGGGAAGTTCACTCACTCCCGCTCGCAGATGAAAGGGGTGTCGCAGAATATTAACTACACCACGGTGGCGCTGCTCCCCATCCTAACTGCTCTCTTCGAACACATCACCCAGCACCACTTTGGAGTCGACCTGCTGTGTGAGTGCAGGCAGGAAAATGACAACATAGTTTGGTCGTCCGTGATTCCTGAATCCCACATGGTCAAGTGATATAAGACGTCTTGGTCTACCTGCATAAGAGACACGGCTTAGAGTTGATGACACAGCATTGACACATGGTGTGGGCCACATGGTGTGCAGGCAGGAAAATGACAACATAGTTGTGTGGGTGTGGGCCACATGGAATCTATAGACCAGTGATCATCAACTGGTGGTCCCTGGGCCAATGACTTGATTCCAAGTTAAAAATCAAATACAGTGGAACCTCGACATGCGACATGCATATTTCGAGATACGAGCAAGCTTTTGAGCAAATCTTTGCTCCGAAATACGAGTAAAGATTTGAGATATAAGTGCACTTACAGACACCGACGCTAGGTGTTTGAGCCGACGCCGCTTCACTCGTTCACTTCGTCGACTTTCATCTCTCTATTTTGTGCATTATTCTTCATAATAGTGATGAGTCCTAAGAGAGTGAGTGGTGAGGATGGTGGAGAGAAGAAGAAACGCATGATGACCATGGAAATAAGGCATGAAATTGAAGAGTGTGGTGCTCAATAAAAAAAAATTGAAAATAGTAGAAAAGTAAAAAAATTGTCAATAAATATGAGCGTGGTGCTCATTAAAAAAATTGAAAAAAGCAAAAAACTAGAAATGTAAAATAATAAAAATACGTAATAAGTTAATTCTAAGTTCTAAGAAGTCTGGAACGGATTCATTTTTTTTCTGTTAAGGTTCCACTGTCATAATGTTAAACAAAAATGTGATTTTTACTCTGGCCACCAATGTGACCCTTCCACCAATATACTGTAGTTGGTGACCCCTGCTATAGACAAACCATGTGAGTCTTTCCAGCACCATGTAGATTACACATACAAATCCAGTTTGTGTGCTACATCTTTGGTACATTATGATGGCTATGGTACAAGACAAACATAAACTCATTCTTTTTTTTTTTTTATTCCAGTGGATGATGTCCAGGTGTCCTGCTATCGGATCCTGACCAGTCTGTATGCACTGGGCACGGGCAAAAACATCTACGTGGAGAGGTATCTGTTCTTACACGTTAGAGTGAATGTTGTATCTACACTGAAGGTCATCATCATCATCATCATCACTCTGTTGTGTCTCTCAGACAGCTGCCAGCTCTTGGACAGTGTCTGGCCACCCTGGCTGGTGCCATGCCGGTGGCGTTCCTGGAGCCACTGCTCAACATGTACAACCCCTGTTCAGTCTTTAACACAAAAAGTGCCCGAGAACGAGCCAGTGAGTCACCGCTACCGTAACTGTACAACCTTACCATTGTTGGAGTCACTCATACAAACGCTCTGTGTTGTTCGTGTCAGTCCTCGGCATCCCTGACTCGGTGGAGCAGATATGTCCGGCGATGCCGTGGCTGGACGGCCTGATGAAGGACATCAACGACATGGCCGAGTCTGGAGCCAGGTACACAGAGATGCCTCATGTGATCGAGGTGGTGCTGCCCATGCTCTGCAACTATCTCTCCTACTGGTGGGAGAGGGGGCCGGAGAACCAGCCAGCCAGCGGGGGCAGTGTCTGCTGCACCACCGTCACCTCAGAGCACCTGAGCCTCATTCTTGGCAACATCCTGAAGATCCTCAACAACAACCTGGGCATTGATGAAGCCTCCTGGATGAAAAGGATTGCAGGTGGGTACAGTCTGTAAGACAAACTGGTATAAATCTTTCAAAATATTTTTATCTTTCAGACCTTTTTATCAGCCGTATTTTTCCATTTCAACTGCCTGCCACTAGAGGGCTCTGATTTTAATACCTCCTAGTTCCCAAATCCCAGGTCTTGTTGCACCACGAAGTACAAGTATATTAGATATTTATTATTATTATTATTTATGTATATTTAATGAAATAACATTATTTAAAAAAAATATTCTGAACATAAAGTGTTCAAATATTTTTTTTTAATTTCAAAACTCACCAAGTTGGCCGGATTGAACACCCTAGAGGGCCACTTTTGGCCCGCGGGCCGTATGTTTGACACCACTGCATTCGTTTGATGCTTGTTATTCTGATGACTTACAATATTTTCCTCTAAAAATATAGTTCAACGTAAAAAAAATGATGTCTTGTCTTGTGGAAATGGTTGAAAACGGGGGAACGTTCCACTGAAATTCCTAATAAAATAAAGATTCACGTCCGGTCCTTCTGCATATTTTAATCCCATTTAAACGGACGTGATTAAAAGACGATCTTTTCTCACGGCTCAGTGTACGTGCAGCCCATCATCAGCAAGGCCCGCGCTGACCTGCTGAAGAGCCACTTCCTGCCCACGCTGGAGAAGCTGAAGAAGAAGACGGTGAAGGTGGTGGCTGAGGAGGAGCTGCTGAAGGCAGACAGCAAGGGAGACACCCAGGAGGCGGAGCTGCTCATCCTGGACGAGTTTGCCGTCCTCTGCAGGGACCTCTACGCCTTTTATCCCATGCTCATCCGCTACGTGGACAACAACAGGTCAGACTCTGAGTCCTTGTCGTGGGCCACAAAATCAATGTACTTTGAGGGAGATTTGTCTTTTGGTAAACAAATATATTTACATTTGTTTACCAAAACACAAATCTTGATTAGAATTGGATTTTTTTTTAAAAAAAGGAAAATTGTCAATTACTCACGAGTAAAGACTCGACTTTTACGAAGATGCACGATACGCTCTGGTGGGCCACATAAATTGATGTGGTGGGCCACAGTCGGCCCACGGGCCTTGAGTTTGACACATTGTCGTACATGTCTTCATTTTCTTTTCTTTTTTTCTTTCTGTGTCACCGCAGGTCCAGGTGGTTAAAAGAACCGGATGCCGACTCCAATGAGCTCTTCAGAATGGTTGCTGAAATTTTTATTCTTTGGTGCAAGTCACATGTAAGTTATTTTCTGCTTAATGTTCTACAAACACGAGATAAAAAAAAAACTATTTTCTGCTTAATGTTCTACAAACACAAGATAAAAAAAAAAAAATCTTCCACCTCTATTGACAAAATCCTTTTATGTTTTTTTGCTTTATTTATTTTTTTGGCCAGAACTTTAAAAGAGAGGAGCAGAACTTTGTGGTTCAAAATGAAATTAACAACCTGTCCTTCCTGACTGGGGATAATAAAACCAAGATGTCAAAGGTAGGTGTTTTATGTCTTTAGATTAGCTGTCATCACCATCTGCCTCATCTCCTCATGATGGAACTTTAACGAGGAGCAGATTGTTGTCGCTGTAGTGCATCCCACAAATAAAGACTTTAAATGTTAGCCGTAAACGTTAGCCTTTCCTCACCCATGTTATTGTATGTCACATGACGTTTCATTTATTGTTTGAATTCTCATTCTGCTCCTTTTGATATTGTGATTATCACATAAAAGGGTGAGTCCAGTTAAATTTCAGACTCTAACATTCAGACATGTCTCTCAGGCGTCTTTGACTAGTTTTATCATTTGATTTTTGTTCAGCTTTTGTTCCCTCAAAAATAATCAGTGTTGATCATCATCAAAGTAACTTAAATCCAAACTTGAAATAAAATTGACAGAACTTTGCAAAAAAACAAATTGATCTAACTCCATCTAAAAACTTAGATTTGAAGCCGACTCTGTTTGAGTCCTTAGATAGTCCCGTTTGAAAAGAGCTCCCCCAGAATTCTACAACGAGGAAATGTTTTGGTGGAAACACTGCTAGACTTAGGTGAAGGCTATAAAGAGAAATATTTTGGTTCTTTTTCCAAGTAAAAACATTTTTTGAAGTCTTAGAATATTTGTCTTGGGAAGCCAGGAAACTGAGGCCTTTCCTCGTTTAATTTGAATGAAAACACATCAAATGATCAAGTAAAGACTGCTGTTTGAGTCGCTGAGGACAGAAGGAATATTGAGGATAAAAACTGTGCAAAGCAGTACTGGGTAAACACCAAATGTCATGTAAGTACTTCAAATAAAAACACTGCGACAAAGCCTCTACTATTGACTTAAAACCTAAAGTTCTCAGAGGGACAAAATGTTTTTGGACAAACATCTTAGGGGCCGGACATTTAAATAAAACAAAATCAAATGTTTATCTTGTAATCCAGTCGATTGCATGGTTAGGTGGGCTGAATCTGGGCCACGACCCGCCAGTTGGTAACCACCGTCTTAAAATTCCTTAATCAGCCTCCTGCTGCAATAATTTATAAATTTTTTTTTTCAAATAGTTTCTAGATGAGATATTTGTCCAACAGTTACTTCCAGCTGTGAACCCTGTGATATATGACGGTGACGGCTGTTTATTCATTCACATAATAAATATGCAAATGAGCTGTTTTCACTGTGCCAGCAGCTTCCCATGACCTTAATGTTTACTTTGGAATCCAGTTCCAGGCACGATTGGAATGGATGGTCCGGTGGTCCAGATTTGGCCCACGAGCCGCCTGTTGATTATCAGTGATTTAAAATTCCTTAATCAGCTTCATGCTATAATAATGACATTTAAAAAAGCCCACGAGCCGCCTGTTGATTATCAGCGATTTAAAATTCCTCAATCAGCTCCATGCTATAATAATGACATTTTTTTTTTTAAATAATCTTAAGATGAACTACATTTTCTGTATACTGTATGTATTCAGTACTTCACAGTAACAGTTACCTCAAGCTGTGTACAGTATGATATGTGACGGTGAAGTCTGTGTATGAATCCACATGAATATGTAGATGAGGCGTTTTCTCTGCGACAGCTGCTTCTCTTCAGCTCTAGAGGGCGTTTCGTCCTCTGCAGGTGAAACACTGTTATTTTAACCCAGTCACTCACCGTTTCATATCAAGTCCCAGCTGAAGTCAGGCTGGTCTCTGTTCGTGCCGCAGTCTCTCCCCCTGGTTTTTGTTCATATACATCACAGTTACTTAATGAAAACTCTAATGTGTGTAAATGTCGGAAGGCGGTGCTTCATGGGAAGATTAATCACAGCAAGAGTGAAAAAAAAAAAAACAGCAGCTTATTACAGTACACTGTAACTGATGTGTTTATTGTCCTGTCACGTCTTCAGTCGGGGGGACAAGACCAGGAGAGGAAGCACAAGAAACGACGTGGTGAGTTCTACTCCATCCAGACCTCGCTGATCGTGGCTGCTCTGAAGAAGATGCTGCCCATCGGCCTCAACATGTGCACCCCGGGCGATCAGGAGCTCATATCTCTGTCCAAGACCCGCTACCTGCTGGTGAGAACGCTTCCACGGCACGTCGCACTGCCAACACGTAGGACGTGAATCTTTTGATTCTATAGAGCAGTGGAGCAGAGAGCAGGTAGTCCTGGGTTCGATTCCCCGAGTTACCAAACACACACAAATCCAACCATCCATCGTCATCCGCTTATCCGTTACCGGGTCACGGGGGCAGCAGTCTCCACGACCTCCACCCAAATCACACTGCACCTTCCTGTGGGTGGTGAGTCCACTGGAAGGTACCAACCGCCCTAACCGGGATTGGATCATGGCCCGGAGGTGAACCCTGGGGTTCCACACCAATGACAGAGACATTACCTCTGGGCCACAGCGCCACTCAATAATAATAATAATAATAATAATAATAATAATAATAATAATAATAATATAACAATAATAATAGTATTAATAATAATATAATATAATAATAATTATTATATTATTAGTAATATAATAATAATAATTATTATTAATAATAATGATGATAATAATAATAATAATTATAATTATTATTATTATTGTGTTATACAGGAGTTTATGCTGCACTTTATTGGTTAAACAAGTAGTGAGTGACTTCCAGAGTCTTGTTTTTCTGACAAACTTAATTCAATTTGTGAGAATTAATAGATTTCTGCAGTGCCTTGAAAAAAACCCCAGGAGGGAGACAAATTTACCACTGGACCACTGCCACGTTCACGTTCGATTTAGCTCATTTAGAGAGTAAGGATATCAATGGCTGCGGTTTTGCAAGTTGAATTAATATCTCTGTCTGTGGAAAACCTGAGATGAAGAGTTTGTGGTCACTGGACTGGACTGGACTGAACTGGACTGGACTGGACTGGACTGGACTAAACTGGACTGGACTGGACTGGACTGGACTAAACTGGACTGGACTGGACTGGACTGGACTAAACTGGACTGGACTGGACTGGACTGGACTAAACTGGACTGGACTGGACTGGACTGGACTAAACTGGACTGGACTGGACTGGACTGGACTAAACTGGACTGGACTGGACTGGACTGGACTGTAGAACACTCAGGCTAACGATCGTCCAGTTGCAGGGAAATACTTTGAATTAGTTTTTCCCAGTATTTAACAAGTATTCCATGTCATCTGACCAAATAGCTCTGTTCTTTTGAAATGAGCATCAACCTAATAAAACTGAAAAGTCTCAATTGTAATTTCTTGCTCACCGGCACTTAGAATCATATTAGTAGAAAACAAAAGACAAAAGAAGCCTTTGGTCGATGCTTTTTTTTTTCTCCGTATGGCAAACCCAGACCAGATTTGGCAAAAGGAGCATCAACCAAAGGGTTTTTATTTATTTATTTAATTTAAATTTAATTTTAATTAATCTTACTACATGTTTGCAAATAATCTAATTGTTACAATTGTAAATATAAATATACAAGTGAGACACAAACTGTTCATCTTTTTTCAGAGGTATTAATTCTTGCAGCAGCCAACATCTTTATCTCCTTGTACATATAATGACAACTTAAAGTAAATTATGAAAACTGCATTCTTTAGTTTAAGTTTTGAAGTTTGAAGTTAAGCCCCGTCTCATCTTAACCCTTTGTTTCCTGCTGCTGAACAGAAAGACACAGATGATGAGGTCAAAGATCACATCCGCCAAAACCTGCACCTCAGAGAGAAGGTGAGTTTGTCCAGGTGGTAATTACTGTCACTGCCACTTCCTGTAGACCGGTCTTTGAAATACTCTGTAACACTAACCCTCCCCCAGTCAGAGGACCCTGCAGTCAGGTGGCAGCTGAACCTGTACAAGGACATAGCAACGAGGACCGAAGGCCCTCCAGACCCGGAGCGAGTGGTGGACCGCATCCAGCGGATCTCGGCTGCGGTTTTCAACCTGGAGCAGGTCGGGACTTCAGAGATACACGTCGCTTTGTCTCTGACAAATTGGCAGTTGAACGTTCTATGGTTTCACTGAAAGTTTTTTTTTAACTTCTCAGGTGGAGCAGCCGCTCAGGTCCAAAAAGTGTGTTTGGCAGAAACTGTTGTCCAAACAGAGGAAGAGAGCCGTGGTGGCCTGTTTCCGCATGGCTCCACTTTATAATCTACCAAGGTACGCAACACAACTGCTTCGTTTAAATAACACTCAACACGAAGTCTGCTGGGTTCATGGATAAACAACAACAACAACAACA